GCCTGAGCTGAATATGAGCAGAAGGCCCCCCCCCCCCCGCCGCGCGCGCCACCACACCACCATCACCACCAGCGGAAGATGGGGGACCGCCGGGGTTCGGGTCGGGGTGGCGTCGCGCTTCCTAGCGCTGGTTGCAGCAGCATGCTGGGGCTGCCTTGTTTTGAATCGGGGAGTCTCTTTGGTGCTGTGATCCCAGCGGAAAGGGAGGATGCCAGAGGCCTGGAGAGGAAGTAGACAGGCCAAGGGCACCGGGTGACCTGATTGTTTTACCCGGGGCGAAAGCAGCAGTGATGGCAGCATTCCCGGGTCTCCTGATTGGTCTGAGAAGTGTACTTCTCTCTGGGCTCTCTGTGCTCACATACTTGCACACCTGGATACTCTGAGATGGGTTGGTTGCTCGTGCACATGAAACCTCTGTGGACTGTGTGCGCGGGTGCATATATGTGCACACCCGCTGAGGGTACACACTAGTATGCACCTCCCAAGAAACAGGAGGTACAGACCTGTACTCATGCGGGTGTGCACACCCATGCACATGGATGTCGTTGTGGGCTCTGTGCGCAAGCATGTATGCATGCATCCTGTGTAAGCTTTGTGTACACACCTACACACACACAATCTGTGTGTGCATCAGCTAACACTGTCATTCACTACCAGAACCCAATGCCAGTGGTAGCCATAATGGCTTCCTCCCTGCTGATGTAACCCAGCCACCTGTGAGGGATCAGTGCCCTGCACCCAGGAACCGAAGGGGAGGAGAGTCCTGTTCAGTGATCATCCTGTAGGTTTGTCATGTCGTCTGTGCTCTGCACCCAGGATAGCCAAGCCCCATAGTGGAGGCAGATGGATCTCTGTTCAAGGCCAGCCTGGTCTACAGAGTGATTTACAGGACAGGCCCCAAAAGCTACAGAGAAACCGTGTCTCAAAAAAACAAAAAGCAAAACAACCAGGCAGTAGTGGAGGTGTTCTTTTGGCTTACATTTTCACTCTTCCCACCCACCATTGTTCCTGTAGTCTCTGAACATGGATGAGGCCTTTCCATCCTTAGGGAAAGCTTCCCTGCGACAGAGCTGTACCTGGGTCCCCCTTCCCTTGCTACTAGCACTTCTAGCACAGACTTTGAAAAAGTTGTCGCATGGCTACTTCACCCCTTGCTGCCTGTTGTCCCCTCACCTGCCTTCCTCCTCCATTGCCTGTGTGGTCACTCCGAAAACACCAGGACTGAGCGATAAATCCGGACAGAGCAGGCTGCCCTTCCCCAGCCCCTCAGACTCTTTCAGATCTGTTGCCCAGGCCCTGCCTTCAGCCACCACACCCCACATTGCCTTCCCTCTGCCAGCCTGTATCCATCTCCCTCCTGAGGGCCTTCTACCTAGCCTTACTTAGCCCTTGGGGGATCCCTGCCCTTTCTCCCAGGCTTCCTGCACACTGGGCCCCCTTGGTTAGGCCTCCATGGCCATCTTGCCATCTGTCACACCAGGCTGAAGTCTCTGTCCCTAACAAGTGCCACACCCACTTCTGATGCCGGTTTAAGACATGCTGTCTGAAGCAAGCTCACTTTCTGACACTCCGCCCCCACCACTGCCTGCTTTTGCCTCTGGTCTCACTTGAAGAAGACAAGTGGCTCCAAGGAGGGGCTTTCCCTGCCTTGAGCTGGAGTCAGGCACCCCGTGTCCCAGCACTGTCTCCCGGGCATGGCATATAATAGGTATTTGGGGAGAGAAAAGAAACTATCAGGGTCCACACCATCACTACGCTCATGTCTAGGATCCCGGGGAGGGGGGTATATCTGGCTACAGCCTGGACCCTTCCACCCAAGCATAGATGTGGATGTCCAGCTGTTTTTCAAGATAATGTCACTCAAATACTGGTTCAAGATCAGCATCATTCAATACAACGAATTGTAATGTTTTTGTTTGGTTTTGGTGTTTTGAGACAGGGTCTCTCTCTACAGAGCTTGGAGCTCACTCTGTAGACCAGGCTGCCTCTAAATCACTCAGATCTGCCTGCCTCTGCCTCCTGAGTGCTGGGATTGAATGCCTGTGCCACTCCGTCCAATTTACAATGTAATTTCAAATTTTCCTTTGGCCACATTAAAAAAGTGAAAGGAAACCACCAGATTCATGTAAGTGGTGTTTTCTCTAACCTGCTTTATCCACAGCTGTATGTTTCAGTACGTCGGCAATATTCAGAAGTATTACAGAGGTATTTTCCATTCTTTCGCTCACTTGTGTGTACTTTTCCACATAAAGTACACGCCAGTTCAATCCAGTCTGTTCAGCACACGTGACTGCCACATGCAGCACAGATCCAGATGTTGGGCCTCAGCACCGACCCAGATGTTGGTGGGCAGGTTGACACCTCTGTGCTCTCAGCACTTGCATTGTGGTGGGGAAGACATTAAAGGAAAAAAAAAAAAAAAAAAAAAAAAAGATAAGAGGAGAGTGATGTCCCTGAGGAGATGACATTTCAGGAGCTTGTCACGAAGCTATTTTCAAGAAAAGCATGCAGGTGGCAAGTGCCAAAGCCACCAAGAGACTAGTGTGGCTGGAGTTGAGTGAGCAATGGCTGTGGTGGGTAACCAACAACCTAGAAACAGTTCTGCCTTCCTTAGTTGTCTGCTCCATCACTGGCTCCACCATCCGGTGGGCCGACCTGTACCAGCTGCTGTCCCGTGCATTTTCAGTTCTCCAAGTCATCAGTTACCCGCACATCCATCTCCTGTGGCTGCCTTTCCCCGGCCCCTGCAGAAGCTGTGCAGGGTCAGCTGTGCCCAGGCTCCCCCACAGCTTCTTCAAGCCCTGCTAACTCCATCTGAACACTTCTTGCCATCTTAAATCCCCCTTCAGGATTGAATCCTGCTCCAGCTACCCCTGTCCGGGCCTCCTCAGGCTCACCTTCTCCATATTCACTCATAACCAGACATGAGCTTTTGATAAATTCCGATCATGAAACACCCTAACTACCCCCATGCCCCACCTAGTTCCTGCGGGGGTGGGGGAGCTTTCCCCATGAAGGCCCACGGGGGACACATCTCTGACGGGTTCATTGTCATCCTGAGTCCCTCTGCTTATGGAAGATAGGCCATGTCACAGCATGGAGCTTCTCAGTAGGGGACATCGGCGGACTGCTTGGGAAGCAAGCAGAAAACCACAGGCTTGATCCCCGGGCAGAGTGATGAATGGCTGTAATCCTAGCACTTGGTGGGTGGAGGCAGGAAGATGGTAAGTGCAAAATGACCCTTAGTTACACAGTGAGTTTAAGGCCGTCCTGGGGTACCTAAGACCCTATTGGAAAACCAGGGTGGGTGTGGTGGAGTGAGCTGAGCTGAGCACACAGGGGTAATCTCAGAATTTGAGAGGGTGACACGGGAAATTCTCAAATTCCAAGCTGACTGAGTTACACAGCAAACCCAACATGGAAAATAGCTGTTTAACCATTGTGAGTGCACAGGACAAACTCTCACAGAAAAAAAAAAAAAATCCCACCCAAAATGTCACTACTAGACCTAGGTTACATGAAGAGACAATATCTTAAAAACATTTTTAAAGGCCAGATATGGTGATGCACACATTTATTCCTAAAACTTGGGGCAACATGGCAGGTGGAGCTCTGTGAGAAGAGCTCCAGACATAGAATTTAAACCAGTCAGGGCTATGCATGAAACCCTACTGCCTCAAAAACAAAACAAAAAAGGCCAGGCAGTGGTAGAGTACAATTTTAATCCCAGCACTCACAAGGCAGAGGCAGGTGGATCCCTGTGGAGTTCCAGGCCAGCCTGTGAATTCCAGGACATAGAGAAACCCTGTCTCAGGAAAAAAGGAGGAGGAGGAAGAAGAGGAGAAGGAGGTGGAGGAGGAGGAGGAGGAGGAGGAGGAGGAAAGAAGAAGAAAGAGGGGCTGGAGAGATGGCTCAGAGGTTAAGAGCACTGACTGCTCTTCCAGAGATCCTGAGTTCAATTCCCAGCAACCACATGGTGGCTCACAACCATCTTTAATGAGATCTGGTGCCCTCTTCTGGTGTGCAGACATACATGGAAGCAGAATGTTGTATACATGATAAATAAATAAATCTTTAAAAAAAGTCCACTTTAAAAAATAAAAAGGAGGAGGAGGAGGAGGAAGGAAGGAAGGAAGGAAATGTCAATTGAGCCACAGCTTGAGAAACTGCTTCACAGGGATGAACTTCAGATCAGTAGAGACCTCTCTCATGCCCAATAATTCACCACAAGGAAGATACTGTCAAAAGTTCCTCATCAATATAGGGGCCTCTTCTAGGTTGTCATAGCAATGACATCGTGTTATCATTTTGTGGAAAGGGACTATGAACCTCAAGTTACCTTCCCACCCTTTAAAAAACTAAGTCACGGGCTGGGGAGAGGGTGTAGTGTGGTGAAGTGTTTGGCAAGTGGGCACAGGAACCTGAATTCAGAATTCAGATCCTCGGCATCCACCTAAAAACACTGGGCCCACTGGTGTGAGGCAGGGGGCTTGCTGGCCAGCCTGTCTAGCCACATTTGCGAGTTTGAGGCTCAGTGAGAGATCCAGTCTAAAAGATCAGGCAGACTCAAGCCAGACAAAATCCCCTCATGGGGAGGCAGTCACCAAGTCCCACCCCATAGCTGAGGAGTTATTGGCAGTCGCTAGCTCCTTGGAAGGGGAGTGAGTTTTCTTCAGGGATGCTCCAGCAGGTAGCTATACACCCAAGCACAGACAGGAGCACAAAGTATACTCAGTGAGCAGTGAGGTTTTAAGAAGAGCACATGGAGATGGGGCGGGTGTGGGGGGCGGGATGATGGAAGGAACAAAGCAGTGGGAATGGGGGGATTTGATCATAATTCATTATATACAAGTATGTGCTGGGGACAGTAGAGTCCAGACCAACACACGCCGGATAAGTACTCTGCCATTGTTAGCGCAGCCCGCTCCCTGGGGTTATTCTCTTAAGGTACTTATTTAATGTACTGAACTTGTCCTTCTCTTTGCTCCAGCTCTATAAAGCCATGTGACGGCATCCTGGTTTTTGTTTTGTTTTTGAGGGCAAAGTTCTACTATGTATCTCAGGATGGCCGGGAACTTGCTGTGTTGCAGGCCAGGCTGGCCTTGAACTTGTGGTAATTCTCCTACCTCTGTCTCCCAAGTGCATATTGGTTCTTGGAAGCCCGTGCACAAGTATGTTAAAATGCATACCGTCCAAGGCCCCTCTAGGACAGTGAGGTAAGTGAGCAGCTGCTGCCACCTAGTGGCTGACCTAGTAATGGCTAGGGCTTCCAGGGACAGAACCCTTTGGTTCTCCCTTGCTAAGGAGACATCTTGGGGTGTCTGATGCCTCTGGAATCTCAGGAACCCAATAAAGAACGCTAGGTTGAGCAGGAATCCTGAGTTCGGGACCCCTCCTCCCCACTGTCACCGTGTGACTCCGGGCAAGGACACTGGCCTCTCAGCTGAGATATGCTGCAAAAAGGAATGGAAAGCTCACACTCCAAGCTCTGCTACTGCCTATCAGCACCTCAAAGTGGGCAGGGCAGTCCTTTCTGGCTCACACAGACTCCCCACTCTCCTGTTGTCAGGGCACCAGGAACCCAGCTCCAGGACTTCATGGACATCAAGGTTGTAACCATTTGTCTGTCACTGGGTAGCTTCAGTGTCTAAGGACTCTGAGGCCAAGGGCTGGCTTCCTTTTTCAGACTGTGGGAAGAGCCATTTCTCCTGTTTACCCTTCCCAGTCTGAGTCCTCTGTCCTGGATGAGATTCTCCCTGGCCCCCGTTTGAGGGCATTGCCAGATCAGGGTTCTGAGACCTGGACCCTGCCACAGGGCAACTGAAACAGTGCCACTGCCACTTGCCACTGCCAAGCCCTTGGCACTTAGTGCTTGTGCTTAGCCATTGAGGCCCAGAGCCTGTGGAAAGCCCCCATCTGAGCAGGGACGGCTCCCTACATCCCCTGCCCAGACAGGGAGGAGAGGGAGAGGCAGAGAGGCGGAGACACTGTAGAATAAATAGAACTTTATTCTTTCTCCAGTAGATCTCAGTGGAAACCCAGCAGTAACAGGTACACCAGTGGGCTCCGGGGTGAGACCCTACCCAGGCAGGAGGGCAGGGTAAAACCTGCTCCCCCAGCCCAGGGGTTTAGGGGGAGGGAGGGAACCCCCTGGAGTCCCGTCCTGCGGGGCAAGGAGGGGGCACAGGAGAGGGGTTGGGGATAGGCCAGGGAAATGAAGGAATTCAGGCCAAGTATGTATCTGTGTGTGTGTGTGTGTGTGTGTTGAAGGGCCCCTTGGGGTGCTGGTGGCTACGAGGCTGGGGGCTGGGGTAACTTGGACCCCTTAGCCAGCCCCTTCACAGTGGGGCTGGGGCTTGGATGAAGTGAGCTCTGATGGGCAGTGATGATATCACCCTACCCATCCAAGGGGCCCTAGCTTTACCCTTCCCCTACTTCTTGGTGGGCAGAGGCAGGAGCCAAAAGCCAGGATCCCCTCCTCCCAGGGGTAGCTGCCCAAGACGCCCACGCCCAATGGCTGGACAGAGAGGAGAAGGGAAGCCGTTTCCTGCATAAGGGAGGAGAAGGCGGTGGCCTTGGAAAGTTAGTATTTCACAGTATTAGAGAAAACTGAGGAGGACGGGCTGGGGGCGGGAGCATCCGCTGGGACAAGGGAGAGGGGAGCCCTTCAGAGCCCTCTGCCCATCCCCAGGACCCACCCCTTCAGCTCTAGATCCAGCTCCCCCAATACACAGCACAAATTCCTTCAGTACAAATGTGCTTAAAATGAAAATTCTTATTAAAAAAAATCAAAACAAAAAAATTAAAATAAAAACAAAACCAGCGAGAATTAATATCTGGGAGTTGGTACGCAGGATATGTACAGGGGGTCTCCCCCACCCTGGACACCCCCCCACCCCACCCTCCGTCACCATCTGAAGCAGGGGGTAGGTTCCCCAACTGGGGAGCGATGGCTTGAGTTCGGAGGACAGGGAGCCAGGTCCCGGCATTTGCTGGTGATGAAGACGTGGCAAGGTGCGTAGGGGCTCAGGCCCAGGTCCTCACATGGCTCAACGCTTGGCCTGATGCCAGCCCAGGCTGCCGGAAGAGGGCAGTCCATCTTGGGTCCAGGCCTCTGTCCACAGAGTCACTGCCTCCTCCCTCCTGTCCCGGCAGAAGGTTCCCAGTTCTGTCTGGGAGGACGAGGCGGGGCAGGGCTGATGGGTCACGTGGCCAGTAGGAAGGCAGAGAAAGCCAGGGCAGGGGTGAAGGCTGTCCATTTGGAGGTCACGGGGACTGGGTTGCGGGGCTACTTCTGTGGGAACTGGGGCTGAGGCTGGGGCTACAGCTACCCGGAGGGGGCGCCAAGCCACCCCCATCTCTTGTTCCTCCGCCCCCTGACTGTCCGCTTAGAGTGTCCAAGCCCTCAGAGTTCTCCAGCATTTCCTGGATAAGTGGTGGCATGGAGCCAGGGATCTCCATCTTCAGTGTGATCACTCGCTCGGCTCCTGTGGGGAAGGAGGAGGAAGTGAGACTCACCCAGAAAGGAGGGTCACAGGGAGAAGGGACCAGTGCCACCCATAAGGGCATCTACCAGGCACAGCACTCAGGGCTCAGTTACTTGACACAAGCCAGCTCTCGATCCCGCAGTGTGGCCACTGGGTAAAACATTCTGAACACTTGTCAGGTTTGGCCCTGGGTTGTCCCCTGTGCCTCAAGTCATGGATTATCCGGCAGACGCTGACACACCCCAATCACCGTCCCCTTCCTCCCTGGAAACAGGTTCAAAGCTGGCAGAGCTGCCAAGTGGTCGCTCAGAGACCACACCCACATGATCTGTTACAGAGAAATGCCTTGAACCACCTCGGAAAAGCGAGAGTAAGAGCCATAACCTAGACACAGATAGGTTCACATGAGGAAGACACATGCAGACACCAAGACCTGAGGTGCCAGCTTGGCTGTGGGGAGCAGGTCCCAAGTCAGTCCCGAGTGGATCTCTCTCCACTCAAAGGAGACTCACCCTTGGCGCTGATGCTCCGAAGATCCGTGATCTTCATCAGCATCTTGGGGAACATGTGGGGACGACTGGGCCTCCGTTTCCGGACATAGACCTTCAGCGCCTCCAGCAGCGGCTCCTGCAGCATGTCCACCTTGTCTGGCTGCTCCAGGTCCTGGCGGTCTGAGCACAAAACTGCCCCTGAACAGGAGCCCCTCCATCCTCACACCCAGCCAACTCCACCAACCAGGCATGGCATACAGCTGCATTCCCAGATATGGCCACATGGGGGCGGGTCTGCCCAAGCCACAGAGGGCAGAAGGCTGCTCCCACACACCAGGCCAGAGAGGTCTCTCAGCACAGAGGCTTTAAACTCTAAAAAGAAGCCGGGTGTGGGGTGTGGGCAGCTCAAAGCTCTCCACAGCAGCTGTGTTGGTGGAGATGGGAACCCCACTCCCTAACACCGACAGCTCTCCTCATACAAGGTGGGAATCCCCAGCAGCTCTTAACTCCTAGCCATCATTACTATGACAAGACTGCACCATTGTGACATGGCAAAAGTAGAACAATAAAATAACAACCAACATTAACTGGGTCTCATTCTTGACCTTATAGAAGAGTGTCTGTTGCCTGGGACAGAACAAGTGCCGAGACCCTTGCTCGTGTGCCTAGAGAGCACACCTGCCCCTCCAGGCCTCAGAACACCGCCCGAGAGCCACCTGCACCTCACACACCTCCACAGATGAGGCAGATGGCACTGAGCAATCCAGTCTCTGCATCGTCCATCTCCAGGGGCAGCAGCTGGTTGGCGAAGGCAAAGACTAAGTCGGTGAGGGGGCCAAAGCCAGCGTTGTGCATCTGCGTCCGGTTGAGGGTCAGCCCGTCTGAGAAGGTCATTGTGTCTTGTTCAGGCGTGTACCGCGTGCAGATTCGCAGAATCTGGGTGCAGGGGATGTACAGGTTCAGAGACTGGAGCGCCTCCCGCCTCCTGGCACACCAGCTCCAGCATCCCCAGAGGCCCCCCTGGCAAGCAGCCAGAGCATGGCTGGCTGGCTGACAGAATTTTCTCCAATGATGGAAAGGCTCTGTCTGCACCATCCAATGCAGTAGCCACCAGCCCCGTGAGGCTACTGAGCACTTGAGATGTGGCTAATGCAACTAGGGGCTGAACTAAGTCTAACTGTAATTAAATTTAATCAGATACTTGTGTCCATCACCGTTGCACTGGGCAGCAGATCTTGGCCGTGTAGCCGCCCCCTAATAGAGAAATCTGGAAGGAAAGGACTTTCCAGTCAGCAAGAAACAAGGCAGGTCTGTCCCCAGGACCATCTCATTCAGCCTGAACAGTCTGCTCCTGAAGGTGCCTCCCACAACTGTGCACTGGGGACAGGCACATGGCATCTCCCCAGTTCTTCACCCAGGATGTGTGAAGGAAAAGGTGGATGGAACCCTTGGCAGGAATCACAGGGGAGCCACCTCCTAGCCTCGGCTTGGGCAGTCTCACTACTTCTGGCACCCACTCACAAGTCAGGCCACCAAGAGCTACCGTGTGTCCCAGAAGCAGGCCTTTCTGCTGCCCGCTCCCAGCAAACGGTACCTGCTCATGATGCCCTCTACCAAGTATTAGAGTTGGCGCCTCTCTAGGGTCCCAGTAGTCACACTGCTCTTCACAGGGAGGGGACAGGACAGCTTTCACCCCACTTTCAGCCAGCATTATCAGCTGGCAACATCCATAAATTGTTCTTTGCCTCCCCCACTGGGAGAGAGGAAGGCACAGGGAGCAAGTGAACCAGAAGACACCTGCGCTCTAGGAGGTGGTGGACAGGTAGACACCAGAGGAAGAGCGTGGCCCATGTGGGCGGTGGGCATTTGGATTCTGGGAAAGGTTCAGGAAAGTGGCTGTTTGGCTCAGAATAAATCCTACAAGGACAGGAACATGGCCCAAGGTCAGGGGCAGACTCTCACCAGGATATCCAGGCAGGCAGCCTTGAGGAGGGTGATCTGGTCAGCAATGGTGAGGGTGGTGAAGCCGGGAAGCTGTTTGGCGAACTCCACAGTCTTAATGATGCACTTGGTGGAGAGTTCACTGAACTTGTCCCAGAGGTCAATGTCCAGAGAGACTCGTTGTTCTGAGCTGTTGTTCTGGAAGAGGCCGGGAGAGTGAGGGCCTCAGCTACGGCACCCGTTCCTTCTTCAGCCTGTTCACTGCCCGCCCTCCACCCAGCCTTTACTTCCGGACAGCTGCTAGGAGAGAGGTGCAGGAGGGGATGGCAGCCGGGGCCCCAGGCATGTAGCACCCTCACTGGCCAGCATACCGTAGTGTACTTGCCCAGCTGGCAGAGGGCCGGGAAGGTCTCCTGGTGCGCTTTGCGAACCTTCTCAATAAGCTCCCCGACCTCGGGCGTCAGCGTGTAGCTCTCTGAGCACTCAGGCTTAGGAGCTTCTTTCTTCTTTTTGTTTCGATCGTTTCGCACCGCTGTGGGGGACACGGATGGGTTAGACAGTGACTACTGCAGCTCAGGACCAGGACCAGGCTCAGCCCATGCTATCCACCAACCAGACACACACACACACACACACACACACACACACACAGAGGCATGCACGCACGCACACAAAGCAACATGCCAAATTAGCAATGTGCCACACTAGCCCTCCATGTCTACCTGACTCCTCTTAAACCCCATTCCAGGCCCGTGACTGCAGCGGTGACGACGAGTGCACACAATGCACACAAGGCCAGTGTGTAGCACCCTGTCACGAAACTACCCCAGCCCATACTCTAAGAATGCACATCCAGACTGGCAGTCATGCAAACTGAGTCCCTGTTCTGTGCCTGCCAGGAACCCTTAGTGTCCCAACTCCCCTGGCAGCAATCTCCCTGGGGGATCCCTGAGACCGCCTCAAAGCAGCTCCCTGGGCAAGCAAGGAATAGGGCTCCCCAAGCACAGAATGGGGGCCCCAGCAGAAGAATCTCTTGGCCCATTAGCTGGGGAGCTGACAAATCACCAGGGGCGGGGGGTGGGGGGGGAGCTGGCATAATTTGGAGATCACTCATGTCGATTCTGCAAATTCAATAAAGTGCAGGGGAGAGAAGGGAGAGGGAGAGGCAGAGTGGGGGGATAATTTGGGAAGAGAAAATTGCAGCTGTGACAAGACGTTTATCATTCGGAAGCTTTAATTCTATTGAAATGGCAGCTGCTCAGCTCCGGGGCACAGAGCAGCCAGGGAGAGGGGAAGGAGGGAGAGAAAGGGGGGCTGTTGGTGAGAAGAGAGGGGGTCCCCACCCTCGTCCTGTCCTTCTGCAGTGAAAAGAAGGAAGGTGGACCAAAGGGAGAAGGAAGTGACAGCCTTTTAGCAAAAGGTCTCAGTCCAGCTTGTCCCAAGTTGTCACAGACTCTGCAGAGGACAGTCACCACTTCCTGAGTGCAGGACCAGCACTCCCAGTCTTTGATGACAGGAGGCAGCAGGATATCCAGCCCTCTATTCCTGGCGGGGGCTCTTGGTGTATTAGTCAGAACCATCTTTCCCTGCACCCCTCCCCACAAAGGGCTGGAGGGGGTCCTGCGGCCCCCTCCCCCACCTCATCCCCCAAGGCTCAGGCTCCATGGCAACGGCCACGCAGACAAGGAGGCGTCTGTCAGCGTCATTTATCTCTGACATCATCAATCACTGGTCACCACGGCAACACCCATGATTCAACACAAGAGGGTCTCTCCCTGTCCAGCCCTCCCTCTGTCCCTTCCTCCGTCAGGGCCTCAGCTGAGCCCAAACTGGAAACCCCTGTTCCTCCTGGATCTGAGAAGCCCGATTCTCTCCCAACTCTGAGTTCCAGGCTTATCCAGACAATGGCTTCAGGGGGTCCTGTGGCAGCCTCCCATCAAACACATACAAACTTCACACTCTCTGGAGTTCAGGCCCCTCCCCTAAGATACACAAGGGACTGGGGTATGCTACTGAGCCACACCCCAAAGTCAAGCAAAGCCTAGGAGAAAGAAAGCTATCCTGGGGATAGGCACCCATGCACAAGCATGCAGGCGCACAACCCGACGTGCTAGTGGAATGGCTTTGTGCATTCTGTGCTTAAAACACTCAACAAGGCCCGGACACAGAGCCCTCCAGTCTCACAGACAGGTTCGTGTGGTTATCTACAAAGCACCCTTAACCGTGCCTGCCTGCTGCCACGGCACACATGTTCCCACATGTGCACACAGGCACACAGCACCCCCACCCCGGCCTTCAGAAGCACTGCAGGCCCCACCTTGGGCGGGGCTTGGCCCCCGGCCCTGTGACACTCACACTCCTTGGACATGCCCACTTCGAAGCATTTCTGCAGCCGGCAGTACTGGCAGCGGTTCCGGGTCACCTTGTTGATGATACAGTTCTTGTCCCGGTGACAAGTATACACCATGTTCTTTTGGATGCTACGTCGGAAGAAGCCCTGGATACAGAGGGAAAGGAGACGGGTTATCCACACCTACAGTGAGGGCAGCCCAGCTCCTGCTGCCCAGAGCCTCTGCTACTAAGAAGGCAGAAGCAGTGGGGAAAGGACACTCTTAGAGAGGACCTGGGCCTGTCTATCCCACAGGCTGGCCCGGAATCTTCCCCAACCTCCATCTCAATACTTGACTGGTCTCTTTCAAAGAAAGGGACTCAGGGCTGAGTCTGGAGTAGGACACACAAGGCTGGAGATAGGAGAAGAGGTTTCTGGGATGCACAGCCTGGGACTAGCGATACAGCAAGGAGGAAAAAAAAAAAAAAAAAGCAGGAGGAACAGGTATGGTGGAGCACACCTTTAATCCTAGCATTGGGAGGCTGAGGCAGGTGCATCTTGTAGAGTCTGAGTCTGGCATAGTCTACACAGAGAGTTCCAGGACAGCCAGAGCTACATAATAGACCCTGTCTCAAAAGAAGACAGCCAGAGGTAGTTGAGAAGGGACTGTGCAGTCATGCACACTCATGGGGCTAAGAAAGGACTGTGTGCACTCGTCACACCTGTGAGCAAGACAACAAGCCATTCCCCAACAAGACATACACATTGGACAGTCACAGAAAAGCCTGGCTGCCCAGGGTTCTGCAAACAAGTTAGCCCAGAAACAGAGTGATTAGGCAGCAATAAAGCAGGACAAACCAGACAGGGTCAGCACACACATATGGTCCTACACTGCCCTTGACTTTGATCTCACTGGGGGTGGCTATTCCAGGCTGAGGTTCCAGGGCCAAGAGCTGCAAGTACTGAGGACATAGAGATTCTAGGCTCTTATTTTTGAAGGAAGAAGCTGAAGCAGAGGTCCTGCTATTAGGTAGGTTCCAGAGCAGCCAGGACCAGAGTGGCCAGGAAGGTTCAGCTACGCACACGTGCCTAGAGACCAGTATGACTAAGGTGGCAGGAAACCCATCGGCCACTAGGGAGCCCACAGCCTGAACACCTGAAGGGAGCCAAGGCAGGGTGTCTGCTACTAGCTGTCTCCTGCAAGGATGCCATGGAAAAGCGTCAGGCAAGGCCACTGGGGGCAGGCCTCCTGGGTCCCCAGCCAAGGGCCAGGCAGCAGCCAGCTCACCATGGCAACCTGGGCAACAGTGGCAGGGCCAGGGTATACCCTGCCAGCCAGAGGATGGAGACAAGGAGAGCATGGCAGGAGGGGCTTCTGGTTTGAGGGAACACTGCTCATTTATGGAGGAGGCCCTGCTGTAGACCTCGACCTCCTCCTCCTCTGCTTCCTCCTCCATAGTTGCTGAAGAAGCAAAAGCAGGCAGCTTCGACACCACCGCTGCCAACTACATCCTGAGGACACCATAGCAGGGGCATCCTATTTATCTGCTCAAGACTGTTGTCCATGACACCCTCCACTCACCTTGCAGCCCTCACAGGCGCTGACCCCATAGTGGTAGCCCGATGACTTGTCCTGACAGACGAAGCAAGGCTTGTAGATGCGGGGCAGAGGTGGTGGCGAGGGGGGGCTGGGCACTATCTCCTCCGAACTGCTGCTCTGGGTCTCGATGGCTAGAAGAGAAGAAGGAGAGTTAGAGACCCAGGTTACTACCCTCAGCACCCTGTCCGCTCTACGCAAAGTAATCCTGGCCTCACCACTGAGGGCAAGATTCAAAGGCTAGACAGTGATGGTCTCTGCAAACTTGGTCCTCAACAGCCAGCTGGGGGAAGGAGGCTGACGGTTAAATATCCAGACCCATAGCTCCTGTATCTCCACCTTCACTCAGAGAGAGAGAGCTATAATTGGAGGGTGAGGGAGTGAGTTGGATTTCAAAGCCCTAACACAAATAGCACCCTAGCCAGGGCTCCCCCAAGTTGAGGAGTTAAGGCTTAATGAAGAGGAAGGGAAGGACATGGGCTGGAAGCAAAGGAAACTGGGGTCAACAGGATATCCAAAGCCAGCCACTCCCTGGCCCCTCTGCTTCCGCTCTCTCCTCCACCCCTCTGACAGCAGCTAGAACCCCTCCCCCACCCAAACAATCCCCTGGCTAAGGTGGGGTCCAAGGCGAGTGCATATGCACACACACACACACACACACACACACACACACACACACGCACACACGCGCGCGCGCGCGCGCGCGCGCGCGCGCGCGCGCGCGCGCGCGCGCGCGCGCGCGCGCGCGCGCGCGCGCGCGCGCGCGCGCGCGCGCGCGCGCGCGCGCGCGCGCGCGCGCGCGCGCGCGCGCGCGCGCGCGCGCGCGCGCGCGCGCGCGCGCGCGCGCGCGCGCGCGCGCGCGCGCGCGCGCGCGCGCGCGCGCGCGCGCGCGCGCGCGCGCGCGCGCGCGCGCGCGCACACACACACACACACACACACACACACACACACACACACACGAAGAATCATATGCAGATGCAAAGCAGGTGAACACCCTGAGATAGACGGGGAGCTCCTGGAGACAGTAGAAGAATTCCCCCACGGCCCCTACAAGTCCATCTCTTTGGATGCCCCATGTCTGTAGGGAGGCAGTGTGACAAAAGGGGTCTGTTCCCATCAATGCTCTGTCTGTCTGGCCTAATACTACATCCGGGTTACTACCCCCTCCACTGTTATTCAGCTCCAAGGGGGCAGCCAGGAGGGGTGACCTAGCCAACAGGGGCAGTCCACCCAAGCAAAAGCTCTGCGCCTGGCTCTATGCCCATTGCCCGAGACAAACATGGCTACTTGGGTGAGAGTTGGTTATGCCCAGAGTCTGGGCCACTGGGGATAAAGTATGACAGATAACTATAGCAGACACTACTGCAGATTCCCAAAGGGCTCTCCAGCAGCCTCCTCTGTCACATCCCTTTCTACAGAGTCAAGAATGGGTGAGAATCCACTTTCACGAGTCTCGCCTAGACCTATCAATCCCCAGTGAGTGCATGGCGAGGTACACGGTCCCTGTGCCCAAGCATCTAACAGCTTGTGCTATGTCGTGTTGTGAATGACTCCTGTGGCTGCAAAGCCCAGGCAGAGGGGTAGGACACTCGGGGACACTGGAGCCTGACTGCGTACTATCACTCTCATTACCTGCAAACACACCAGGGAACCACGCCAATGGCCTTGGCAGGGCTTTTCCTGGCTCCTATTTGGATCTGGCCATCGGCCTGGCCAACCAGCACTGCTGAAACCCATTCGCTAACCAGAGACCATCCTGCAGGAAAAAGACTCTCACCTACACCTCCGTGAGGTGTAGAGTGACCTGCCCAATCTGCTCCTCATGCCTACACAGAACTGCCCTGCCCTAGCTTTTCACCCCACTTCCTTCTCGGGAGGCCTGACAAGCAAATCAAACAGTCAGGGAGGCCTGAGAACAGCTGCTGGGGGGCGGGGTTGGGGGGCCTGGGTGAGGCCAGGAGGCAAAGGGGCGAGTGACAAAGGAACCCTTTGTCGTGCTAACTTTTTCCAAGATGTAAAAGCAGTAACAATAGACAATCCAGACTGGGGGGGGCGTCAAAGGGGGGAACACGCCTGGCCTCCCAATCCTGGTCAGCATTCCAACAAGCACAGGAAGAAGGCATTGACCTCCCCTCCCTCCTCCTAACCCACCCTTTGCCCTGGACCTGCCCCCCTTCCATCCCAACCTCCAAATTGAGCCAAATTGGAGGGAAAGGAGATTTGGGGTTCAGGGCCACTGGAGGGAGGGAGGCATGGCACAGGGAGAGAGTACCAGGATGAAGACCAAAAGGCCAAGGACAGACCAGAGTGGCAAAGGCTCAGACAATCTGGAGTTAAGGCAAAGTCCAGAGAGTTGTTCATGGAGATTAAAGAGTTGTGCTTTTAAAAACTGTTTTTGGCAACATGGCCGACATGACCCTAGGAGGGGTGGGGGCTGGGTAGGTCTCTTTTCAAACCACCCCCAGCAGCTGGCTATGGTTACCTCTAAGGCTGTAGCTCTGTCTGCACCCCACCCTCACCTGCCACCCAGGTAGGTAACTCAACCTCTGAGATTTCCAGCTCTACGTTTTAAGTTCAAATCCCAAGGCCCAGGTCCCCCACCTCCCCAGGCCTCCCCAGCCAGCAGCCTAGGGAGGCCAGTGTCAAAACCAAGCCAGAAGTGCGGGTCTTCTCAGGCCCTGCTGAGTTAGGACACAGTTACAGTCCAGTATAAGCAGGTGGGGGGCGGGGGGACTACCCTGGCCAGGCCCCACCCCACCAGCCACCCTCCCTCGAGGCCCCAGCCCACAAATCTCTCCACTTCCTGCAGAAAGGCTGGGGCTGGAGAAGGACCAGACCTCAGCTCAAAGTTCCAGCGAGCAGCCAAGGGCTGGAACCGGCCCAGGAAGCCCGGCGTCCCCTCTCGCCGCCGCTGCCAGGGTGCCCCTCCCCCCTCCCCTCCTGGGCGGGCGCACACGGCGCGGGTCCCCACGCCCCAGAGCAGTTCGCAGGCTCGCGCAAGGGGCCAGTTTCCTGAAGGAGATCAGCAGGAAATCAGCTGGGCCCCTGGCCAGCGGCTCCCCTCCCAATCCAGCTGGCGCCCTCTTTGCAGCTCCCTTCACAGCCCCTAGGGAGAGATGGGGAGGGGGCGTGGAAGCCTCAGTATTGCCTTTTCTCCTCATGGGGAGAGGGTGAGCGTGGCTCTGGGTGCAACATAGCCAGAACACTCAAAGCGAGGCTCGAACTTAGCGGTCAGTCGATGATAAGCATCTCTCCCATCCCCCACACACACTATGGGCATCCACGTGCTTCACATTCTTGGACGTCTGGAAGCCAGCGGAGGCGTGAGCTGCTGCGGGGACTGGTGGGGGACAGATGGGGAGCCACATCCTGTGCACCCCCTTATCCTCTAGTGTACTGAAATGGGGGCTATGGGAGGGAAGCAAAGTCCCCAAGGCAGGTCTCCACCCACAGCCAACTTGCTCTCCTCCCTCCATTGGTGCAGGCTAGGGGGTAGTGTTTCCCATGACATCTAGAGGTGACTCCAGGCACTGGTCTCTGCACACCAAAAGGCTCTTTCCAAGGCAGTGACACAGGCTCCACTAGGAAAGGTCCAGTGGTCACCCTGACTCTAGGTCCTTACCAAGTACCCCAAAGCAACTCAACATGAGTGAGTGACGGCTGGTGAACATGGACAACAAAGCTCTACTCAGGCCACTACCCTAATCCCACAGCAGGTTCTGTGTGCAGGCAGGTCTCCGCTTCCCCATGCACAGTGGTTGGAGAAAGGAGGGGACAGGGAGGCTCCCCGATGGGCTATCTCCTCAGTTCTCTACTACCCTCCTCCCTTACATTCCGGGTCAAGAAGAGCTCAGCTGTCTTAGAGGGCTTGGGGAAAGAGACCCCAGGGGCCGAGATCCTACCTTCCCCCCCCAGAGCAATGGAGAAGGGAGAGGGGAGCCTGGAGCTCAGCCCAATTACTCCCCCCCAGGGGTGGCTCCTCCTTACAGTGCTGGGATAATGGGAAGGGTCATGATGCTACTTCTCACCTCCTTTCTCCAAAGTCAATGATCACCCACCCCTCCTATCTAAAACCTAACAGCTGATTCTGCCTTGGAGGCAAAGGTCAGGGGGCAGGACAATAGGAAAGGCCTAAGGAAGAGGTGTCTGAAAGGGCAGGGGTGGGCTGTCATTAACTCAGGTCTGTCTTCTGATGCAGGAAGGGTTGTGGGTGGGCAAATCCTTTTCTACATCAGTCTTCCCCAATATGCTTAGGCCAGTGGTTCTCAACCTCCCCAATTCCCACCTTTAGTACAGTTCCTTGAGTTGCGGTGATCCCCAACCATAAAACTATTTTCCTTGCTACTTCATAATTGTAATTTTGCTACTGTTAGGAATCATAATGTAAATGATATCTGACACCTGTGAAAGGGTCATTTGACCCTCCTCCATGAGGTCACGACCCACAGGTTGAGAAAACTTGTGGCAGGTCCTAAGAGACCCAATCTTCTTGCTCCCTGGCACGCAAAAGGGTGGCAGCAGGTATGGGATGGTAGGACAGCCTCCTGGGAAGCAGCGATCCCACAGCAGAGTGGAAGATGAAACCTGAGCCACCTAACACCCTAGCACCAGTTCCCTACCATCTAATACACACGACCTCACAGAAGGCATAAACACGCCCAGGTGTGCACCCTGGGGCATGCGCACAGGTCCTGGGTGTGAACAGAACCCTCCCTTACAGCAGAGCCTGAACCCAACTGAACCAGACTAGAGAGGGCAGCCAGGACATCAGGGATCACATCAGTTGTCCCTCTTAATTGCACAAAGCCTGGCCCTATTTCCCTAGACAGGGTAACAAAAGGCCCCATGAGTAGTGGAGATGTTTTCTCATTGCCAGAGGTGTCGTCCCCAGCTCCGCAATCTTAAAAAGCAAACATCCCCAAGAAAGCAACCAGGATGAAAATTAAGAAGATTCTTCACACCAATTTTCCCCGTTGCAAGCACAAAAGTGCACCCTGCCAGCCAGGTGTCTGGGGCCAGACCTGCCCCCAAGATGGACTAGTTGCCTCTCAAAGTGTAAAGGGTGGCCAGGACAGCAACTGTCTGCTGAAGTCCCTTTCTGCCACACCCACACCCCACTGTCAACACCAAAGAC